TCAAAATTTCATAAAAAGATAGCCCTTTAATTTTTTAAGGCAAAGTCTTAAAATTTGTGAATTAATTTTAATGCTAGTCCTTCAAAAATTTACATACACTCATGAACACTCATAGTACGTCAAACTATGGATAACAAAAGTTGGTATGGGTTTTGCGATAACATGATTGGTATTTGTACTTTACTTCTTTTTAGGAATGCTTATTGAAAATTCCTTAAAAATGTACAAATTCTGAGTTCAATCATTTAAAAAAAAATAAGTATTGCTTTGATTTAAAAATGCATACCAACTTTTGTTACATGTACTATTAGCAATAGGTAAAAAAAAAATTCAAAGCATTAGGCACAATAGAAAAAAAGCCTTAGCATTTTAAATGAAGACAAACTAATTATTTTATCTTTCTCCGAGATAATTAAGTTTAAAGTTTTGATTTGACTCAAGGATGTGAATAAAAACGAACGCAAAAGCTATCATAATTCTGGTTTCTTAAGTTTAGTGCTTTCAAATTTTGTCATGTTATTGAACAATGTATAAAAAATAATTTAAGCTAAAAAAATTAAATTTGATTTTTTGACCGATTTTTGTCAATTGAATCGTACTGTGTCCCCTTATACAAACAATAAAATATGAAAAAGAGAAAAAAAATGTTATTTATAGGCTAATAATCGGATTTCTTACGCAAACAGCACATTTTCTTAGTGCAAGCTCATGCAATAGAAATTTAAAATAATATAGTAAAAAAGACGAAAGTACTAACTTAGGTTTTATTATTAAATGTTCAAATTCTCGAGATGTTCAAAAACAACCTCTCGTATATCAAATTTGAAATCAAATTTATCCGTTTCAAAGTACATTTACAACTGATAAAGCTTTATCTATTTTTTTAACTTTGAAACTTTAAAAAAAAAATTGATAATATTATACTAATATCAAAAACAATTATTCAGAACGGAGTGATTTTTATTTGGATCTCTTCTTAACGTACATTACTTGCCAAAATTTTTTTTTATCATACTGATTTAAATTAAGTATATATGCCTATAATTTAAATTGAAATTATCTTAAAATATTCATTATATGTATACATTGAGGAGTGTGATAAAAATTTTATTAATCAAAGTTCAAGTTTTGAGTATTTAGATTTTATTTGAACTCTGATCAATTCAGGTTTCGATTAGTTAGTGTTAATAAACACAGGAGGAATTTCAAGTACTAATATGTAAGTTTTTAATTTAAATTATTTTTTTACGAATAAACCATACATATAATATCATGTGATCATATCATACATGATATATATGTTAGAAACAATATGATTTTTTGATTGATTTGAAATGTTTTCATATAATTTATTCTATGTTTTATATAGTATTTCATACAAACTGGCAATTCTATTTTATGTACTTTTCTTATGTTTCAATTTATTCAGCTTATTTAATTTCTGTTGATATTTTTTACCAATTTTATTAATAATTAAAAATGAGTCGGAAGCTTCTGTGATTTATTTAGCATTTACCTACCACTAGGTATTTTTACTACTGCCTTTGATGGTGAGATTGAAGCTATTGCAGTAGAGCAACTATCACTTAGAAGCTCCGAGTTCAACAGGGCCGTAATCTTTTCCGACTCTAAATCAGCATTACAAGTTCTATCTCAAAATCACCTCTGCAATTCACAAGGAATTTTAAAATGCAAACCGTTCTTAAAAGATTTTTCTCATAAAATCTCTTCTCAGTGGACACAGGCTTATTGTGACATTGCTGGGGATGAGCATGTTCACTTCCTTGCTAAGAAAGGACCCCTTGTGATCTAAAGACCTACGAGGATTTCAACCTTTCCTTCCTTAAGGCTTTTTTCTAACATGGAGTTAAGCATAGGTATAAAAAGGAAGTTGAGGAAATGTCGAAGGATAAGCACTGGGCAATCTTGAACAAGGACCCGTTCTGGGTTCCTGGGGCTCCTAGAAAAGCTGCTGAAGCCCATTTTAGACTTTTTACAGGTCATGACTGTCTGAGATCGTATCTGTACAGAATTGGTATCGCCAACTCACCGGACTGTACTCTGAGTGACTCTGGTCAGCCTATGACCGCTGAACATTGGGTCGTGTGCCATGCACTAATTAGCCTTAATTCAACAGTCGAAAAATATTGGAGAGCACGTGCACTAATGGCATAGGTGCTATTGTATTGTGTGGCATTTGTAAAATAAAATAAAATAATAAGTAAAAATGTATATACACTGAGACCCCGATGTAACGAATTTTTCTTTTCCCCTGATTAAAATGAAGGTAAAAAATTCTATTTAACGAATAATAAACCGCAATTGAAAGAATTATTTCAGCAGCTAGCAGCAGAATATTCTTTTCATTAGTTTGATGAGAAAAAAATTTGATTTCTTTTGAGATAACTTACCTTTTTTTTGTTCGAGACAGAAAAATATTTTTCGTAATTAACAGACTTCATAGGAAAGGGTACAGTCAATAATTAGACCTTACAAGTGCATAGAAACTGTGAAAATATATCTCTTGCATCAGGATGCTAATGACGCAGTATTTTTTGCTCTGCATAAAGTAGAAAAGAAACTCTTTCGAATGAAAAATCAAAAAGATTGTCGAACTTCTATTAGTCAGTACTTTTAACTATAATTAAACTAAAATAACTTAAGTGTATTATAGTTATAGTATAACTGAAATATAATAACTATAGTATAACTAAAAATATTATACCTATAGTATTTTTAACTAATAAATAAAAAGCATGTAATTTCTATCTTTGAATATTGTTTGAGTTGTTGCTTATTATAGAATTTCCAAAACGCAAGTGTAAAAAGTTTGTATTTTTTGGACCCTGATATACGAATATTCTCGAATTAACGAATAAAATGATCGGTCTCGATGAATTAGTTAAATAGGAGTCCAACTGATTTAATATTTACCTTTAATCTCATCCTGCATGACACTTTATTTTGTAATGGCCCTGTCCAGCAGGACTCGTGCATAAATAATAACTAGCTTACCTGACTAACGTGATAATTGCAACCCCGTGTCTCTTGCAATTTAACAGTTTGCCTTTTTAAATTCCTACTAAAATAGTTCACACTTTCCCTACATATATATATATATACATTACAAAAATTTACAAAAATAGTTATAAACCCAAGATAACTAGTCATGATAGAATAGTTTTAGCCACAGTAATACTAGAGCAAACTCCTGGCCTCAGGAACCAGGATTGCAGATTTAAACAATGTTTTTCGGCCAGCCAACCTTCACCTGAATTTGCCAATACTCTGGGCCATAGGGAAAGCAAGAAATTTCTAGAGAAGTTTAACTACTATTATAAATAAAACCATAATCTATTAATGTAAAGCGATAATATTATAGCCTGTAATAATTACTAAAATATTTTAAAATCAAAGTTAAAACTATTAGATTAAGACTTACCACGTGAGTACAGCAAAAAACATATTCCCGGGCAATGGACAATAACAGTAACGCATAAAATTATTAAGTTTTGATAAAATAACATGAATACAATATATATACATTTAAAAACTCTATATTTTGTTTTGAAATTTATAGTAAATAAAAGTACCACCCAGACATATACAATTAATTTTCAATAAAATATAATATTGTTAATTTACTTAGCTTGAGGTGCCATGTATCGATAAACTGTACAACTAATAACATATTTTTTATTTAATTGTTAGGTAACTTTTTATAAATTTAGGAGGGTATCCGTGTTCCATACAATGTTTAATAAAGTTATTAAAATTTATATATATATATATACCTTGTGCAAATTTTCGATCGTTATAAAATACTTTTTTATTCATCCATTCAAGTTCTAATAAGCATGCAAAGTCTTCCCAAGCATGCAAATCTCGATATTTTTCTCTTCCTAATGACAGCTTTTCAAGGTTACTCTTGTTTTGGATTGTTGATATTGTTTCTGTATTCCCTTTTGGTTGCTTATTGAGTTAAATTTCTTGTTTTACCCGAAAAGGTGCCCTCTGGTGGACATTTTAATTTAAATTTTTTCCCCAAAATTACGTGAGCGCATCTCGTGTATAACCCATAAGCAAGATTTCATTGCATTCCGTTCACCCGTTTGCGCAGTAGGAGGCCGTTTATAGGGAAAATTTAATTATTATCACCAAGGGTACCTAACAGTATTAATTAAATGAGGAGAAAGGATGATGTTTTCTTTTTCTCTGGTGGAAAAATAAGATGTAACACAGGTCTTTCGCACTTTGTGGAAGCTATTTCGTAATTCATTTTCTCCGTTGCATTTTGAGGTAAAACTTTGGCAACTTAAGAATAAATGACATCTAAGGTTTTCTTTTGATTGGCATATAAAATAAAAGATTTATTTTAAAAATGGCTCCAAAAATGATCTATGACTCGAAGGTTACGTTTTCCAAGGAGGAATATTTGTATCAACAAATTAAAAAGTTGCGTAAAAATCACGATTATTGTATTTTAAACAAAGGTATTTATAATATATTAATTTTGAAAGGGAAGAAACATCTAACAGAAAGTAAAAAGGAAAACAGGACCACGAAACTTCCTCCTAAGACTGTTCAAACTCAGGGAACTATCAAGAAAGTGAAATCGCTGATCCTAGAGGAAAAGCCATCGACTGAAAGATTCATTGCAGCGAAACTAGGAAGGTGTTCCGGAACTGTAATTAAAATCATTAATAAGGATATAAAGTTAAAACAGATGCTTAAACCTAAAAAGTTCGTCTCCTTTTTTCAATTCCTACTATATTTTTTTTAGTTTCACACTCTCTCTCTCTCTATATATATATATTTATACATATATATATATATAGAGAGAGAGAGACATTTTTTACATACAAATACATTTTTTAAACATGTAGTGGACACTTGATGTTAATACAGTTTTTTCAAATATTAATTCATTAATTAAACTAAAAATGAATAAATAGTAACAAAAAATAATAGTATATATAGAAATGAAAATTGTTGAATGCGTCCCTGGAGAGCAATGTATAGTTTTTTGAACTTCTGATCCAAAGGTCGTGGGTTCGAATCCCACCTGGGATAGCCTAATTTCTGAAAAGGTGATTATACTTTTCTACTACAGTATTTTACCGGATTAATTAAATTTTTTTAATAAACAAACAGTATTAAAAATAGTATAACACCATATATCAGCGCATCTTAAAGTGTGGGGTGCATATCCCTAGGGGAGCATGATAGATCAACGAGGGGGGCGCGAGCATATTGAAAAGTCGAAAACAAAAGATACTTTAAAAATTATTAATTTATTAAAACTAGACATACAAAATACATTCTGACATAAGAAAAAATAAGATTCACATTTACGTTGATATAATACACTTATAAATGTATCAGTACTGCACAATGTATTTTATAATTAATTTAACAATACAAGTTTAAAAATTAACAGTAATTCCAAAAACTTGTCATCGATAAAATTTTTATACCAATTAACACTTATCTTGATAATTTATACGGTTTGTAATTAATCCCTTAACTGCCGATTAAAAGTTACGCGATTCACAGCCCAATGCCCCCGTTTTCTACGTTGGCACGCATATGTGGTGTATTGGGGATGGGGAAAGAAAAGGAATAAATAAGAAAATCCTCTGAAATAAGTTAATCCTTCGCAAACACTGTCAAAGTTCTTTTATTTCATTTCAAAGTCTTCGGAATTATTTTATGAATAGCAGCTCACAGAGAAGATCGTACTTCGGAAAGACGTATATATACGTCCAGAGTAATTAACGCTTTGGCTGAGCGAGACGTTTATATACGCTGGTAGCACTTAAAAGGTTAAAGTTTTATTGTAGATTTACCGAAAATGTAACTTTAAGGTGATTCAATACATTGTTGTTGTATGGAGGAGGGCGCGATGAAAATTATGATTAAATATTGGGTCGCAAATATGGAAAGTTTGAGGAGCACTGTCATGTATAGAAAGAAAAATGAAAAATTCCAAGGAAAATCGCTTTTTATTTTGTCACAATATTAAGATTCTACCTTATGTATACATATATTTATATTGTAACTTTTTATTAAAAAGTAACTAATATAAATTTTTTCTGTTGACCTAAGTAGGAGTTGAGTTAAAAATTTTTTTTAAATATTACTTGTTAAAACATATTGCTGAAATAAAAGCAAATTGTAGAAAATTATGTAAAAAAATTTAGCTGCTGGAAAATGGAAATTTGGGGGTAACACTCGATGAGGTATGGGCATATTTGAGAGACTGTAGTAAAAGAAGATCAGTGTTCTATTGCTCAACTGACGGGAATTACTGTTTGAGGTGGCTTCGTCAGTGTACAGTTAAGTTTCTACAAGGATTTATGATAGTTGTAGCATTTTCTAACAGTGGCCAATTTAAAATAACAAAAAAGTCTCAAGTAAAGCCAAATAAATTCACTCTACTATCAGCAGAATTTTTTAGAGCCAATTTTTGAACAAGAAATTCTAACTTTATATTGAAAGGACATTAAAAAAGTTGAGCTTCATATGGACAAAACTTCTAGTAACATGTTTAAATCAACTGCCTCTTTTTTTAGCCAAGAAAGGATCAGAAACAGAAATAAAGTGTACCCCATTGGTTGAAATACGTGTAAAATCACCCTGCGCTTCTGCAATGGATTTTTGAGCTTTCGGTTTATAAAAACTATGCTTAGGATAACGGCATCCAAGAACACTGAACGGACATTACCACACAAATTACAATATTTATTAATAAAAATTAACTATCTTCCTTGAAGTATGAACGACCTTGTGCTTGACATTGCACAAGAAAGGAGCGATTGCAAGAATAGCTACAGAGGAAATCAATTGACAAGAACTAACTTCGCAAGAACGTTATAATCTGTAAAAAAATTCTTTCTAAATATATCTTGTTCAGACATCTAAGTAGAAGTAATCTATTCAAATTGAAAAGGAAAGTAAATTAACCGTATTGTTGTAACTAGTAATTTAGTAACCAGAAGAATCTATAATCAAATATAAACTGACTATTGATGTATTAACGGAATAATCTTTTAATGCCATTGTGCTTTTTATTTAGTTTAATTCTAAGGGCTCATAAAAAATCTCCATCCGCATTCATTAGAAAATTTACCCAAATATTCTCTTTTTTCTCATTCCTACATAATTCTAAGCTGGAATTTATTGAATGAAAGCCTTTACTATTTTTAAAAATTATTTTCATAGAGACTTCAAATAGCCTCAAACGCAGTTTCCACCATGATGAATATTATTTATCGAATAGTGGAATACATTTTTCATTTTGTGCGAATTATTGTCCATCCTCTATTGGCTGTTTGGCATGGCGGTAAAGGGAAAACCGTTCCACCTGTACAAAACCCGCTGTTGTTGAAGTCTGCAACGAAGTTAGCTGAAGAAATACGTGAAGGAAAGGTAAGAACTTCATAAAATATTTTATTTCAGTTTTTAATTTCATAAATTTGTTTTGTGTGCTGAACATGCATTGTAGAAATCCAAAATGTTCTGGATATAAAAATAATAAAATAATCTCACGGTAAAATTATAACTACCGAACTTATATTATCATTGATATCTTTTTTCTATAATAAGTTGTCCCAAATTTATGTACGGAAGCTTACAAGTCTAAATCTTTTATGGTAGGTATGCAATCTTCATTGTTATTTTTCCTCATTGATTTGAGAAAATTTATGAAATATGAACAAAAGAATTTTCAAACTTTAAATTGATTGATTTGTAAAACTCGTAATTGCCACATTCCCTTTAGCAAAACATTTTTTTTAGTATTGTTGTGTCTTTGGTTATGAGAACTACATATTTATTTTTGGGGCCGTGGGTAGCCTAGTGGCTAGAGCGTCGGACTCCAGACCGGAAGGCCTGGGTTCGATGCCCGATGCCACCAAATGCCCGCCGCGCACGAAACGGAGAACGTGCTCGTTAAATCTGTGGGTTCAAACGGTGTCGCCATCTATCGTGTTGCGTGAGCAAAATCGCACTGTCACCTTTGGGGGCTCAAAGCTTAGGCTAACGACAGGCGTAAAATTCTAGCCCCTAGCCGCGATGAATTTCGTGGACCTTGATCTGATGTTACTGTCGATCAGGTGGCGTAAGCAACACATATTTATTTTGCTGAAATCTCTGATAAGAACTTAAAAAGTTTTAATATTCCTTGTGTGAAGATCAATATTGTCTTTTTATTAATCATGAAAGATAAAATAAGGGACAATTTCATCTTATAATATATATTAATGTATTGGATTTAAAATTATGTTTACCTTAACGATTAAATAATGTACTGAAATATTATTGCTTTTAAAACTTTTTTTCAAAATGTGTATAGGTATTATATCAGTGCCCCCATTCAATATAACAATGTACTTTGAAGCACGCTAAAGCTAAAATACGACTTTAATTATAAATCGTACAAATAACCAAGTTAATTATTAAATTTCGTGTATGATAAGTGTCCCCCCTCCCACACACGGTATATATTCACTAGTAATTATGAAATTGTTTTTAATTTAGAGTATTGATACATCAATTATCCAATAGATTGAGCATTACTGATACATTTATAAATATATTATATCGGTGTAAATATGAATTTTATCTTTTTGTTATGCCTGAATGTATATATTTTGTTTTGTTTCCTTTCAGTAAATTAATAATTTTTCTAAATAACCTTCTATTTGCTACTTTTCGATATGCTCGCGTCCCCCACTTAGGGTAATACCGCTCCCTTAAGGGGGCGCGGGTCCAAAGTTTGAGAAATACTGTATTACATTGAAAATTAAACTAAAATATGAGTACTTTTCTGTTTCGCTGGCACAGGCTATAAAGTCCCCAAAAATGAAACAATCGACACCAAACGAAATATTCCTGGTTGTTAAATTCTTAGCATCACATTTTCAAAACAAGTCATGGCCTTTGCTTATGAGTAACGTTTTTTCCATAATACATTAAAAACGGATAAAAAAAAACGATGAGAACTTACGTTTATTAAATTTTTTTATGTGTATGCTGTGTGTTGTAGTCAATAAAGCCTGTTTGGCGAGAAGTCACTCACGAAACGGAAAAGTACCAAATAATATTCTTGCTAAATATAAAACTTCGAATTTTCTTCAAAAGCTAAAGTGTTTTTTAAAGTGTAAGTATGTAATAAATTTCTTTTAATAATACTGTAGAACGTCGTTTATTCGAACGTTTATTATCCGGAGCGTCAAATATCCAGACCGAAGTCCGGATACGATTTCGAACAATGCAATACTCAACAGTTGTTTCGCTTGAGGCCAAATTGAGGAGAAAATCTAAGATGAGGGATATTTGGGGAATTTAAATAGTGTGATTTGATAAACATCTGCGCGGAATATTAGGTCAGTTGGTTTCCAAGTGAGGGGGTGTAACGCGCTCTTTTGTTGAGTTTTGTTGATGTAGAAACCAGGATGGCATGCGATGCAGATGACCGGATTTCAAATGTTAAATGATGACGAGATAGTGACTTCCGTGCAAGAAGAATCTGATCCTGTCGACGATGAAACGGAAGACAAGGACAACAACGAAAGTAGCAAGGATACATCAAATTGTGACGCGTTTCTTCGTAAGATACAGCTATGGAGTGGTACGAACAACAAACAGAGTGCTGTCCTACTCAACTACTGCTGCTCAAGAGAATCAGAGACCTTGCAGCGAAAAAACGAAGGGGTACAATGGTACGGCGAAAAATAAGTGATTATTTTCCAAAATTAAGGTAAAAAGAAAGGTTTTCCAAAACAAAGGACATTTTGCAACTAATTGGCTTCTTTTCAAGCCCGTTTCCCACATGTGTTGATTTTCAATATTCGTATAATGTCCGGTTTCATATACTGCATGGATCGCATACGGTTTTTGGTTATCTGAACAATCGCGTATCCGAACGGTCTTCGGTACCAATTGATTCGAATAAACAACGTTTTACTGTATTCGGAATATTTTTCACACTTTTAAGACTTTTTCCTTCGAACAAATTCGTTTCTGAATATGCGTGAAGTAATTTCAAAAAAGACTGCAGTAAGAGAGGC